AGCAGTTCTGAGACCCCTGACCCCTGAGGTGGATGCTGGGAACTGAACACACATCCTCTTAACTGCTGAGTCATCTTGCCAGCCTCCAGTTGAGTAGACTTTATTTTATTTTTCCATCTAATTTGATTTTAATTATTAAGTTGTTACACATGACTACAGAGCTGGAAGGCACCAACCCATAGGTTATAAATTGCTTTGAGGCAATTTAAGTGTGGATAGAGAGATGAACAAATGGAAATTTAAGGGTATAGGAAGAGATGACTCCCTCATTCAGGGTTACCAAGGTAAGAAAATAGGACTCGATCTCTTAAAAAAAATTGACATGTGAGAGTCAAGTGTGATGGCTCATATCTGTGATCCCAGCACTCATAAGACTGAGTTAGGAGGATTGCCATGAATTTAAGGACAGCCTAGTCTTCATAGAAAGTATCATGCTAGAAAAAGGCTATAGAGTAAGGAAAAAAGCAAAATGTAAGCCAGACTTGGTGCATACTTCTATAATCCCTGGAGAGGCTGAGGCAGGAGGATAGGCGATGATGGGCTAGCCTGGGCTATGAAAGAGGAAAAAATCATCAAGAAGTGAAACCGAAACAAGTGAAAGGAGAGGTTAAGATCTTAAGGAAATATAGGGAAAGGGCAGAAGGCACCAGAAGTGAGGAAATGATGAAGATGGGAGCTGAGGAACTGAGGCATTAAATAACCACAAATTCTTAGGGTTCAATTTCCCCACACTATCCTATAGGCTCCCAAAAGACAAGACACTGTATCCTAAAATTTCAAGAGGACGTAACCCAGTAGAATTTCTTACTGCTTTATTTCTTACTCTTATAATAAACTAACTACTACTGTCTGTGAATGTGTGCATGCCATGGAACTCATGTGAAGGGGAGATAACTATCAGAAGTTGTTTTTCTCCTTCCACCAGTCTTAGGATTCCAGGATCAAACTCAGGTGTTAGGTTGGCCAAGCATTTTGATCCCCTGAGCCTTCTCAGGGTGATGGGAATTTCATTTGTTAACTTGAGCTTTACCGTCTTCCTGAGTCACTACATTTTAGAGTCAAATTTGGCATCCTATGAAGGTTACTCATCTTGCAGGGAGTTCTGTGATGCCAGGACTCAGGTATGAGACTAGAGTTCCTAGTTCCTTACTAAAGAGTTTGTGAAAAAATGAGGATAACACTGCCCAAAGCCACCTCAGCTGAACCTCTGTTCTTTCTTGCTGCCGCCCTCTCTGAAATAGTTCAACAGCTTGAATTCATGTTATTTTCACCAAAGCCAGACTCCACTGGACCCCTGAACTACTGGGTACTCACTGAATCTCTCCATTGTACCTCAACCCCACCACTTTAGGTTAGGATTCTTCCCATAACCAGATTCCTGAAATCCCCTCCAACTGGTCTCCATATGTCCCACAGCCCTGTGTCAACCCAGCTTTTCCTGTAAGCCAGCCATTTCCCTTCACTTACAGCTCACACTAAAATGCTA